GGCATATATATATGTGTATATATATATATACACATATATATATGCCTTAAATAATATAATTTATCATTAACACAACTTTTAACAGCTTTTCAAACTTTATGTCATTAACAGCATAACAGTCACAAAATGACATTTTCTCTTTAGTTTGTAGTTCTTTAACCTTCCTGCTGCTCTTGGGTCAAGATTACCCATGAGGCCTTGTGGATCAGTTTGACCCAAGGGCAGCAGGAGGGTTCAGCCTGACCAGCGGTCCTTGTAAACCTCAACATTTCCACATTCTTTTCAAAGTAAACCACACATTTTTTAAGTTATTTCAGCTTTTGTTTTATAAATTTCTGTAGTTTTATAAAACGCTTGTTATATCTGGTCACATGACTTTGTCTCCAACCCTTTTCAAGAATAAAAGTAATTAGATGCTTAAATAAACTTGTGAAAGTGAGCCTGAAGCTGCTGACGTCAGTCTTCCTCTCAGGGATGATCTGGTCAGTAAAACCAGCTCCGACACTGAATCTGCAGGAAAAACTTCTCCGTGTTTTATCTTTTCGTCAGCAAAGACTTGTTTTAATTTTCAGTGTGTGCGCTGACGTTATCAACTATAATTTATTGCGTCGATTAGCAGCACTAATGTGGCATAATTCGCTCCCACTATGCTGTGGTGTTAGTCGCACATTAAAATAAGAATTTAAAATAATGCTCGCCGTCGGATTAATTACCAACTGTGTTTAATTGTTTTTAATCCTAATTACCAAAACAGACCAGGAAAATTGTCATTTTATCATCATCTTCAGCTTGTCGAACCCGATGAGAAATGTGCATTAAGAAATAAAACTCAGGGAAAAAATGTTTTTTCTAATTGTTTACTGTAGGAAGCCTTAAAGTTGTCTCACCTATGACGAGCTCTTAGTCCACAACGCATTTGTTTTCAGTTAGGAGGGTTTGAAATCAAACTCATTCTATTATATTTGAAGCAAACCTTACATTAAATGATAACGTTAGCATTAATGTGTCATGAAATATTAATTTTCTATCACCAAAAGCATCAACTGCAGGAAATATACGCTGGATTCAAATCAATGGTGATTTTTCCTCTTTCTTTTATTTTTTCTAAACAAAGTACTTGAAAAGAAAATGAAGGTTTATGATTATGGAAACGAATAAGAATAACTATTCTGGTCAATATTGATTATAAGAAATTATTATTCTCCGAGTTTGGAAACATTGCATTTTTTTTTTTTGTGCTTAAAGAACAGCAAATTGTCTTGAAGGGAATTTCCCTAACCGAGTTCAGACTGCAGGTTTACTTGTGGTTCCTAGAGTTTCCAAAAGCAGAATGGGAGGATCTTTCAATTATCAGGGTCCTCTCTTGTGGAACCAACTTCCAGTTTCTGTCCGTGAGGCTGACACATTGTCCACTTTGAAGATTAGTCTTTCCTTTTTGATAAATCCTATAGTTAAGGATGGCTTGGGTTTCCTGAGCCATCCTTTAGTTATGCTGCTATAGGCTTAGAGTCCTTGAGGACAAACTGACCACATTTCCTCATTCTGCTGCTGTCTTTACTTGCTCTACTCTACCTGTTTGTAATTATTTCTATCTGAACATGTGTTTTGTGTCTTTCCTCCTATAGACAGTTCACCTGGACCTGCCATTCTGTGTTTGTTTGTTTCTACTTCCTGTCCTCTCAG